AGGACCACAATGAAGAGCTAACCACTGAGGAGCTGCAAGAGCTTCAGCAGGAAAAGCAATAGATCACAGCTCAGAATCTTGCTGCAGAGGAGGAGGAAGAGAGATGGAAGAAGGTGCCTTCTTCAGAAATTAAGAAGATTTTTGAAATGAGGGGTAGGATGGAAAGATTTATGGAGAAACATCACCCTGAGAAGGATGTTGCAAGCCATATTGGCAACTTGTACAGTAACAGAGTCTTGGCCCATTTTAGAGAAGTTTTAAAGAGATGCCAGAAACAGAGCTCTCTGGACACTTTTTTTGCGAGACAGGACTCCAGTGACTCTCAAGCTGGTCCTAGTGGCATTAAGAAACAGAGAAGAGAAGTAACCCCAGAAAAGGCCTTGGTACCTGAGGTGTTGATGGAAGGGGATTCCCCTTCCAAACAGTAACTAATCCAATCTCTCTCCTCCTCCAGTCTTCCATACACTAAGAAGAATCGCCAATAAAGGTAAGTGTTATGCTGTTAATGTTTCATTCATCATGTCCCATTGTATTCTTTATGTGCTACATGTATATTTCATGTAAAAAAAATTTTGTTTTAGTACTTCTGGGTGTCAGGAACGGATTAATTGTATTTACATTATTTCTTATGGGGAAAATTGATTTGAAAATCGTCTATTTTGATAATTGTCACACTTCCAGGAATGGATTAACGACGATAAACGAGGGACCACTGTATACAGTGGACCCCCGCTTAACGATCACCTCCAAATGCGACCAATTATGTAAGTGTATTTATGTAAGTGCGTTTGTACGTGTATGTTTGGGGGTCTGAAATGGACTAATCTACTTCACAATATTCCTTATGGGAAAAAATTCGGTCAGTACTGGCACCTGAACATACTACTAGAATGAAAAAAGTTCGTTAACCGGGGGTCCACTGTATTTATTTATTATTATTTTGTGTACGTAAAACTATATTTATTCTTTAGAAAATAAATTTTTTGTGAATATTTTTAGGTGTTTGGAACGGATTAATTGTATTTACATTATTTCTTATGGGAAAAACTGATTCAGTTTTCACACGTTTCGATTTGAGAATCACCTTCTGGAACGGATTAAGTTCGAAAACCGGAGTTCCACTCTATGTATATGCATTTTATCACTCCAGAACACTTTAAATGTCATTGTATATTACTACTCACCTCTCACTCTACATTAAGACCATTACGACTACAAATATTTTAAGGTAAGTAATGAGTGTACTGTATCCGCATTTTATCGCTCTAGGGCACTTTAAGTGTTGTAGTATATTACTTGTGGGTGGCCTGGCCTGGCTGGCTACCATACCTCCTACACCTGACTTCCTACAAATTCAAATTCAAATTCAAATTCAAAGTTTATTCTCTATAAGGATTACAATGCTGAGTTTACAGAATATGGTTATTGTGTGGTTTACATGTAGTTAAATAATGATTACAGAGTGTACCACTAGAACACCTAGCATGGCTAGGCATTTTGGGCAGACTTAGTTTAATTCTTAATTTTAAAATATTACAAATTATGAGGTAAGTTGGTATTATGGCTAAGTGACTAAATACTAGTTTGTGAGTTTAGCAATGTGAATGCTTTTGTTTTGGCACAGTACATAGTTTCAGTATTGGAGTATCACAGGATTCATTATTTTAAGATTGAGATTAATATTTCTGTTTATGGTCAAATGAGTGAGTGAGTGTAAGTGTGAACCACCAGGTGGTATTCGTGTAGTTAGTTGATGGGGTGTATCAGGGAGATAAGATGTTTTCTAATGGTAGTTTTGAAGGTGATGAATGTGTCTGCAGTTCTAGAGTTCTCAGGTAGGGTGTTCCAGATTTTAGGGCCTTTGACATACATTGAATTTTTGTAAAGGTTTAGTCAGACACGGGGAATGTCATAGAGATGTTTGTGTCTGGTGTTATGCCTGTGGGTTCTGTCACAACTATCAAGAAAGCGTTTTAGGTCAAGGTTGATATTGGAGTTTAAGCTCCTGTAGATGTAGATTGCACAGTAGTAAGTGTGGATGTACTGAACAGGGAGTAAGTTTAGATCTATGAAGAGTGGGGGGGGGGTGTTGCCAGGGATGGGATTTAGTGATTATTCTTACTGCAGCTTTTTGTTGGGTTATTATTGGCTTTAGGTGTGTTGCTGCAGTTGATCCCCAAGCACAAATAGGATAGGTGAGGTATGGATAAATAAGTGAGTGGTATAGTGTGAGAAGGGCATTTTGTGGCACGTATCGTATCTTGGAGAGGATCCCAACCGTTTTGGATACTTTTTTGGTTATGTGTTGGATATGGGTGCTGAAATTCAGGTTGTTGTCAAGGTATAGGCCTAGGAATTTGCCCTCATTATGTCTGGTAATTAGAGTGTTGTCAATCTTAATGTTAATTTGTGCATCTCCTGCTTTGCTACCAAACATAATATAGTAGGTTTTGTCAGTGTTAAGCGTAAGTTTATTGGCTGTCATCCAAGTCGATATTTTGATCAGCTCCTCGTTAACAATGGTGTTGAGGGTGGCAAGATTAGGGTGAGAGATGACATAAGTCGCTTCGTCAGCAAAGAGAATGGGTTTCAGGTGTTGGGATACGTTTGGAAGATCATTGATGTATATGAGGAAGAGCAGGGGACCAAGGACACTTCCCTGCAGAACTTCAGTATCAAGTGGCCGTGTTGTTGATGCTGTATCTTTAATGGTGACATACTGATACCTATTAGTAAGGTAAGATTTGAAATAAGCAAGCGCATGGCCTCTTATACCGTAATGGTCAAGCTTGTGGAGTAGGATGTCGTGGTCTACTGTGTCAAAAGCTTTTCTTAGGTCAATAAAAATTCCTAGTGGATATTCCATATTTTCCAATGCTGTGTAAAGCAGATCTAGCATTTTTATGATTGCATCATTAGTGCTTTTATTTTTCCTGAATCCAAATTGGCAGGGGTTGAGTATGTTTTGTGCCGTTATAAATGAATATAGTCTCCTGTGCACGAGTTTCTCAAAGATTTTGGATAGCAATGGTAAGTTTGATATTGGTCTATAGTTGTTTAAGTCTGTAGGGTCACCACCTTTATGTATTGGTGTAACCCTTGCCATCTTGAGTAGTTTCGGGAAGGTGCTAGTTTCTAGTGACTTGTTAAAAAGTAATGAAATAGCATGCGAAAGGACATGGGCCGCTCGCTTGTACAGTAATGGTGGGACATGAGACAGAATCCCTGAGTTATTTTTAAGTGACTTTATAATCTCAGTGACTTCCGTGGGCTCAGTTGGTGCAAGATAGAAGGAATTTGGGAAATTCCCATCTAGGTAGTCCCCGGCATGGGCATTGGTATGTGGGATTTTATTGGCGAGATTAGATCCTATGGTTGAGAAGTTGTTTATCTTGTTAGCTGTGTCAGTGGGATGTAGTGATGTTTCATTAGGTTTAGTTAGGACAATATTCTTGGTTTTTTTCAGTTTGTGGGTCCCTAGAATCTGAGAGAGTGTTTTCCAGGTCTTTTTTATATCTCCTCTAGTGTCTGTGAATCTACTGGAGTAGTATAGTTGTTTGGCTTTCTTTATTACTTTGGTGAGAACTGATGAATAGTGTTTAAGAATATCTTTGTGTATTAAGCCCTGTCTATATTGCTTTTCATATTGGTGTTTCTTGTCAATGGATTTCAGAATGGTGCTAGTTAGCCATGGGCAACCAAGCCGTTTGTTTGTGATCTGTTTCATTTTTATAGGACAATGTTGTATAGCCTAAGTAATTTGTTAAGAAAAATGTCTGTCCAGTCATCAATACCATTGGCCCTGGAGAATTCTGTAGGCCAGTCAATAGTCTCTAGGTCAGCTGTGAACTTCCTTATTGAGGCCTCGTCATGGAGTCTAAATGAGACTGTTATATTCAAGTGGTGGTTTACCAATGTTTGTCAGGAGGAAGGTAGGGTAGTGGTCTGTAGTACTATCTGTGATTATCCTTGATTTAAGGTATACAAAATAAATACTACTCACCTCTCACCCTACATTAAGACTACAAATATTTTAAGGTAAGCAATGAGTGTACTGTGTGTGTATATTTTTTATTGTTTTTAATGCCTAGTTCTACTGTTGGTGTAAACTTGTTATCTAGCATTTATGTGCATTTATAAGTGGAAAAAAGAGAGTTCCACTTTATGGTGATTTCCGCTTTATGGCAATAGCCTGAAACCTAACCTTCCATATAAGTGGGGCCCTACTGTACAAGGAAAATGGAAGCAGCAGGTAAGAGAGAGGTGAAGGTTTATAAGCTAAAGGAAGAGGCAGTTAGGGTAAGATATATATAACTACTGGAGGATAGATGGGCTAGTTAGAGTATAGGCAATGGGGTCAAAGATGTATGGGGTAGGTTTAAGAATGTAGTGTTAGAGTGTTCAGCAGAAGTTTGTGGTTACAGGAGAGTGGGTGCGGGAGGGAAGAAGAGCGATTGGTGGAATGATGATGAAAAGAGAGTAGTAAGGGAGAAAAAGTTAGCATATGAGAGGTTATTACAAAGTAGAAGTGATGCAAGGAGGGAGAAGTATATAGAAAGAAAAAGAGAGGTTAAGAGAGTGGTGAAGCAATGTAAAAAGAGAGCAAATGAGAGAGTGGGTGAGATGTCATCAACAAATTTTGTCAAAAATAAGAAAAAGCTTTGGAGTGAGATTAATAAGTTGTGGAAGACTAGGGAACAAATGGATTTGATAGTTAAAAAAAGGAGAGGAGAGATATTAAATGGAGAGTTAGAGGTATCGGGAAGATGGGAGAAATATTTTGAATATTACTGATGATAATTGATGACTGATGATCAATCTAGTACAGTATTACATAATAACTGACAATGATGATGATGAATAATGACAAATAATGAATGATGGATGATGAATGAATAATGAATGATGGATGATGTTTGATGAGTAATGGTTCAATATGACATAATGATGCATACTGGTTAACAATATTCTAAGAATTAAAACTACATTGCATACCATACCTGTATACTATTCCTGCCATGTTCAACATGCGCTTGCTTGCAATGGTGTCTGGCTTTTTAACATGTTTATCAGAGAAAAAAATAACTTCTCTAATTCGTGCCTGGATTATTAGCTTAGCACATTCATTGCAAGGAAACAAAGCAACATAGATGGTACAGCCAGACAAATCAGAACTATTCTTATTCATGATGGCATTCATCTCTGCATGACAAACTGTTGAATAATAAAATAAAATAAATTGCAGGTATTACAGAAAGTGTAGCTATATAAAAGATCTGTAATATTAAAAGCAAAAATCATAAACTAAAACAATAAAAACTTCAGCAGAACAAATAACATTAACTACCTAGAGTACTACTGCATTTAAAAATGTGCATGACTACAAAGAAAAATATATATACGTACTGTAATTATTAGTACTAATGTTATTACTCTGCTACTTTTTTATTTTTAACCAAGTCAGCCACTTCTCGACAAGGCGTGGCAACCCCCCAAAAAAAAAAAACACATTCATCTTCGTCTGCTACACCTGACGTTACTATATAAGTGCCAGGCTCCTTGCTTCTGATTCAGAATCTCCACGACTACGGTGCTCTTCGCACCTACTCCAAGGTTGAGGGACTGATTACCTCATCTTCTGTACATAGTCTTACTGTCTTCAAGTTATGTCCTTGAATTTGTATTGATAAAGCCACTGGATGGCGAAACGTCTACAATAAAGATACCCAGATGTTGCACATGTGTCTTAATTTCATCTTGTCAGTATTATATACCATTCTTGCACAACATTCATCTTCACTCAGTCAATAACTGTCTTGCTATAAGTATACAGACACAGACAATCGATTCATATGAGCAAAAACAATTATACAATACCAAATTGCAACTTCAAGATGATCCTAAGCAACTGGTGTAGAAAAGTATATTTAGCATGAAAAGGCTTTGTTTCATTGTATACTGTATTTACAAATTTGTTTAATATACAAGTTTATGCCATAATACTGTGTATGTTATATGTGATAGAATATGTTGATCCATGAACCTAGCAGTGGATAATGGAGAGGATTTAAAGTAAAACTCTCATATACAAAGAATACAGTCATCAATTGTATCAACTGTTAGCAACCAGGCCTCATGACAGTCAAAATGGTTGTTGAACAATACTGCACTAAGCAAACCCTATATTCCCATAGACTTCCATGTTCAAATCAAGAGATGCATTCTTGGAAAAATTCCTGTTCAGCATATCCTTCCAATTAAATCCCTCTGAATCAGTACACAGCACAATGAAATTAACTAAATAAAAAACCTCACATCTCTAACCCTTCTTGAGTTAAAGACCTGAGGTCATGTTGTTACAAAAAATGCGATTCTAAAAGCTTAGAGATCTCCAGTGAATACTAGAAAGGACTGCCCTTCTAGCATCCAGCCTGTTACTGGGTTTTCGTAACAATTAGACAGTATCCTTGTCCAATTATCCATTAGAATTCAATAAGAATTATTAGTGCTTCAGGATTACAACTGGTAGGCTACTAACTAGAGAAATTAAAATTTAATAAATTTATTAATTAAGTCTAGAGGTATATTATCAAATTAAATTAAATTAATCACAGTAATCAAAATTATATTAATCACTTCTCTCGTGTACAATATTATTGTGCTGAAAGCACATATCACATTTATAATTCTTAAGTACCGTCTGGTACATTAACATTTAATAAGATATTACAAATATGTACAAGTAAGTTTGTGTGTATGTGTGTAAGTGCTCTAAGTAGTTCACTATGTCTCACGACTCGACTAGACTTAAACAAGTGACTGACAAAGTCCTCAAATAAACTAACTTCTTGACCAACCGGCAATCAGAACAGTCTGCTTGAACAATAAAAAGAATGCTAAGCCCAATAGCAATATAGCAAGCAACTTCAACACAGAATCAGGAACAAGGAGATAATATAACGACAGCTAGTAGGGACCATCAGCAGATCCTCCACAAAAGTCACAAAACTCCCATACAACTGAATCTAAGTTCAGCATAAGAAAATCCCCGACTGTGACAATACACAGATACCAGTACAAGTTAGGTCAGAAGCTACAGCTCAGGACCTGAGTTGCTCAGTGTGTCTTTGAGACACAACCTCAGTACAACGTCGAAAGTCACTAAGTCTATACAATGTTCTGTGAACAGAGTCTCCAGAACTAACAAGAATATTGAGACAAGAGACGATCTTCCAACAAGGGCCAATAAGGAAGAGTTAGGCACTTGCCAGGGATACATCCAACCACCAAGAGAGTCTAGACCAGACTGAACACTTCAGGCGAGGTGAGTACACCCCCCCCCTCGATCACGTGATAGCTCCGTGGACAGCTGTTGCCCAGCAACAGAAGCCGGCAGAGTAATGAGCCACAAGCGATAATTATAGTAGTTAGACAATCAAGACTTGAACTTTGAGCACATAATATATGTGTTACATCCTACCTAACAAAAGGAAACCAAGTCAAATAATAATATAAAGTCATATATTTACGATTTAGCTATTATCGCAAATATAAGCAATATAAAATTATATGAAAAGGTAATATACATGTATTATATATAAATAATATACATTGCAACCCATTCAGGGGTTGCAACACATGTGTGGTGGAGTTGGTCACTATAAAAGATCACACTGACTAAGGGAGGGAGAAACATTAGAGAAAACTGAATGTCAAGATAGACAAAGAATTTTACAGCAATTGTGGGTTGTGTAAAGGATGTTACAAGTGAATTCAGAAGAATAAGGTGATGAGACCTTGGTAAATACAGTACAAGTTTCTTGAATGAAAGAAAACTACTATGAGTAAGCATCAGCAACAAGTATGAAGGATGAGTTAAAGAGAAAAGAGTTGCATGAGTGTTGAGTTTGTAGATACGCAATGTGGATGTATCACAGTGGTACCAACTGTACTGTATACATGTGAAACCTGGAAAGGTTAAAGGCAGGTTCAATGTTTTGCCTAAGATTAATGTTGATGTGAATGTTATGAAAGGAATAAGAAATGAAGAAATTAGAAGAAAGTGTGGAATTGTGAAAAGTATGATTCAACGTGCAAAAGAGAGGGTGTGAGATAATACAGTTATGAGGTAGAAAGGAAGGTGTAACAGGCATATGAAGAAGAGATCTATGAAAAACATAAGAGAGCTACCGAGAGGTAGAGGCTTGAACATTCTGCACGCACATGAAAGCATGTTTATCCAAGCGGAGGCAAGAACTCTGTGAAATAAAATGCTGTTGCAGTGAGAACTAGGTAATAGCTTTGAAAAGACTAAAAGAAACAAGTTAACTGAATTACTTTTGAAAGAAACTCTGAATGCAAATGGGAAATGGTGGACGAGTTAAACAAAAATAATGAATACTGTAATAATTTTTTCTTTAACACACTGGCCATCTCCCACTAAGGCAGGGTAACCTGAAAAAGAAACACTTTCACCATTATTCACACTATCACTGTCCTGCCAGAGGCATGCAGATACAACAATTCTGATGTCCTGCCAAACAACAAATATCTCTCATCCCTCCTTCAGAGTGCAGGCACTATACTTCCCACCTCCAGGACTCAAGTCTGGCTAACTGGTTTCCCTGAATACTAACTTACCATACATATATTTTGTAAGAAGAGGGTCTTGTGATTCTTTACTCCAAGGCAACACATCATCACTGCAGCCCCTCGGCATTCCATTATATCCAATACCAACTATTTTCTTGTCTGTGTTAACTATACATGCTCCAACTTGTGAGCATGGATCCTTGCTTCGCATGGCAGTTAAAAATGCTACTGCCATAAAGTATTCTTCCCAAGAAATATAGTTGTGCCTCTTGGAGTCACATGATCTGCAAGATAATACATACAACTACTTACAAATTTAATTAAATAATTTGGCCATGCTGCTTATTCATGCAAATAATACTTATAAATAAAAATAAACACTAACTTATAAATGTTGATTGAAAAATAACATGAGATTCACTGGGTAACTTATACTTTTAACTTTATTTTTAATGTTTATTACAATATACAGTGGAACCTTGGTTGCCAAATTTAATTCATTCCAGATATCAATCTGACATCCAAAATGTACGACAACCAAAGGAATTTTTCCCATAAAGAATAATGTAAAGAGAATTAATCTGTTCCAGACCCCAAATGACAATATAATAATATATTATAAATGTACTACATAAAACTGTAAAAATGAATACTAAAAGAAACTTTAACTGAAATACTGTACAGTAAATGAAAATTTAACTGCCTCTTACTTGTCAGAGGTGAGCTATTGGCATACTGTAAGCAGGAGGTGGAGGAGAAGAGCAGGTATATTATTGCTTGGAAGGAGAATCACCTTCTATTAATATGTCAGGCAACTATCTTTCTGGTGTTGTTTCTCTTCTTTGTCTCTTTTCACCACTAAGACCTTGTTCTGGCTCACTGGTTCCTCGTCTCACTAAAAACCAGGCTCCATTTTAACACTTGTCTAAATTGAGACATTACACTGTCATTGTACATGTTAGAGTGACAGATGGACACTGCTTTGTCTGGATGATATTTTTCAGCAAATTCCTGCACTTCATGCCATTTAGCACACATTTCCTTGACAAGTGAAATGGGCACATCATTCCTTCCCTCCTCTTCTTCTGATGACAGCTCCTCTGCAATTTGTTGCTGCTCTTCTGAAGGTCTACAAGTTCTTCTGTGGTGAGTTCAGTTCTATGCTCCTCCACCAACTCCTCCACATCACCTTCAGCCACCTCCAGGCCCAAGGTCTTCACCAGTGATACAATATCCTCTACCACCTCAGGCTCATCTTCAAAACCTTCAAAATCCCTGGCTGCCACAAAGTCAGGCCACAATTTCTTCCATGCTGATTGCATGGTCCTGGAAGACACATTCCCCAGGCTTTGTCTATAAGCCTCAAGCAGGTGAGGATACTGAAATGGTCCTTCCAGAACTCCCTGAGGGTTAAATTTGTTTCTGAAGTGATTTCAAAGCACCTTTCAAAAAGTGCTTTGGTGTAGAGTTTCTTGAAGTCAGAAATGACCTGCTGGTCCATGGACTGGATGAGAGGAGTGGTGTTAGGAGGCAAGAACTTCACAGTTATAAAACTGAACTCCTCTAGTAACTTGCTTTCCAACTTGGAGGGTGTTACGACTTGCTCTATGCCGCAACAATAGGGGAATAAATACGTACTTAGTTTTGCTTTTTGGTTAGTTTTATTTACTACCAGTTACGAACCTTTATTGGCATCCAGTCAGTGAATTAAAATGACAATTCACTATTATCAATGAAATGAGACTGTACGATGAGGAACGTAATTCTATGTTCAAATCCTTATGAATTAAGCATAATACAATAATTACAATGAAGAGTCCAAATAAGAACTATTATGGGAACTTTAAGGAAGTACATCAGTTATCCTTCTTAAAGAGAAGAGTTATCAGACTCTTGGAATTAACAGCAAAGTCAAGACAATAGACACGATCTAGAATTATTGACCAAGTTAATTAAGATCTCTGGGTTGAAGACCCGATCAGAGTCAGTGCTATGATCTGACTGACTGTTCAAATGCTCAATGGTCTGACATCAGGACGGACAGGAGGTAGCGCTAGGCGCCAATTCTGGAACCATCAACTGGACTTCTAAAGTAGTGGTTCCCCACTTGCATAACAGAACACAGTAATCAACCTACTATAATACAATAATAATATAATACAATATAATGTAATATTATAATAATGCCTAACGAATAACATCTTATTGAATACAACCTTGCTTGAGAGTACCTTTGATGATTTATACCGTACCCGATAATAATATATAGTCGAACCTGCTTTATCTAGCTAGTAATAAAGTGGTTCGCAATATATTACTATAGAACTTATTTTAATCAGGTCTTTTATTTTTGTATATAATGGAGTGTGAAGGAGGGGCACGTAACAGAGGGTGCGCAGGGACATTCTCCATAAGTAAAAGGGCCATAAGTGGCAATTGTTTTTTAAATGAGGTACTTTTTGACAGTGAGAGCAAAGACCTCATGAACCCACTCAATAAAAAGCTGTCTTGTTACCCAAGCTTTCATGTTGGCCCTCCACATTACAGCGAATCTGTTTTTCATAACATTGTTCTTCTTAAAAACTAGTGGATTTTCAGAATGATAAACAAGTAAGGGCTTCAATTTCAAGTCCCCTCTTGGGAATTTTCTTCCAGAAAAGGCCTGTCACGTCACAATTAAACACTTGTTGGGGACAAACCCCCCCTCAGCCTCTACATACTTTTGGAATTCATAACATACTTTTCAACAGCTGCTTCATCAGCACTGGCAGCCTCCCCATGCCTAACTACACTATGAATGCCACTTCTTTCCTTAAAATTATCAAACCAACCCCTACTAGCCTTGACTCAGACCCACATAGTCAAGTCATTGTCCAGTGTGCATTCTGTGAGCATTTGACCCAAGCCGTTTGCATTGTCAGTTGACAACCGAGAGAAAATACGAAAACCAGGACATTTTTTCTCAAATTCCTCATTCAAAAACCGATTTGTTCAACAAGTAATGCGGTCGGCAACTGAGTTTCCACTGTATCTGTAAATTGTTGAGTGTCAAAAGAGGCAACTAAAATCCCAGGAGAAAGTGCCTAGTAACCTCTTCTCCTGTATAAATTACCAAATGTAAAAAGAAAAACTTTTGTTTCCTCTTTTTCTGATCACCCAGTCAAGGTGAAAGACAGCCAGTGTGTTAAAAAATTCTGTAAAATATATGTACAGTACTATATTAGTTATACTGCACTACAGACTAATTTAATGCTTTTCTGCTATTTTTAATATTCTGATTTAATAGACACTCAGAGAATATCCCCATATGAATGAAGAAAGGATAACTGAAATTTACAAAAGCTTTACAGACCTCCAGTAGCACATTTTTAATATTAATATTATTATTATTATTAGTAGTAGTAGTAGTAGTAGTAGTAGTAGTACTACTACTACAAGATAAGGTAGGAAGATAGAAAGGAGGGAGGGTGAGAAGCAAAGGATAAGGAAATGGTAAAAAAAAGAGGATGAAAATAGAGAGAGGGAAAAGGGAGGAAGATCAAAATGGAGGAAAAAGTTATAGGAGGACTGGGAAGAAGGAAAAAAGTGGAGGAGAAAGAAGGAGATGAGTAAAGAGGAAGAAGAGGGGGGTAACATAAGTTGTGCAATACAAAATACATTAGCTTCGACTTAATACTCTTACCCAATAGCCAGTTGAGATAAAGCACCACTAACATCATCGTAGGCACCAACAACTGGATTTGTCTTTTCATTTTGTTCACTTAACTGAGACTCTGATACTTTCACCACTTCCATTCTGATACCTGGAAAAAAATAACTGATACAACAATAATGATGATTCTGGATATTTTGTGTACAGCCTCTCCTCACTTAAATGATGGAGTTCTGTTCCTAAGACCACGCCGGCAAACGAATTCATCGCTAAGTGGCCTGATGGCTAAAGCTCCCGCTTCACACACGGAGGGCCCGGGTTCGATTCCCGGCGGGTGGATACATTCCGACACGTTTCCTTACACCTGTTGTCCTGTTCACCTAGCAGCAAATAGGTACCTGGGTGTTAGTCGACTGGTGTGGGTCGCATCCTGGGGGACAAGATTAAGGACCCCAATGGAAATAAGTTAGACAGCCCTCGATGACGCACTGACTTTCTTGGGTTATCCTGGGTGGCTAACCCTCCGGGGTTAAAAATCCGAACGAAATCTTATCTTATCTTATCTTACTTTGATGGTAGTGAGTTTGTGTCAACCATCTTTAATACTATTTTAATATCACCTTTGTACCATTTATAACGTTTCAAGTATATTTTTAAATGTTTATACAGTAGTGTACTGAATATTGTAATAAACAGAAGAGAGGAAATCAGCTCTAATATATATTATTTAGGCATGCATACTGGTCAAAGAGCCCATCGTAAGTCTGAGTCGCCGGTAAACGAGTACGTCGCTAATTGAGGAGATGCTGTATATGTATTTAAATGTACACTTCAGTATATTGCTATTATGCAGTCATCTGAATGTTCTGTACAGGAATGATAATTGTACTTTTGTGTACCTATACCTAAATAAACTTGCTCCTGGTTTCCTATCTTCATTGATAAATTAGTAAAATATTTTCTTAAATATTTTAAAAGGTTTACATTTGTACTTAGATGGATACCATATTTAATGGCTTTGAATGAGACAAAACTGCCTTTACACCTGAAGGATACCTGGAGAGTGTTCCAGGAGTCAATACCCCTGCAACCCGGTCCATGACCAGGCCTCAAGAACCTAGGTACAATATTCACGCAATATTTAAATGAGTTTGTTTTCAAGCCTTATTAATATTTAACAAATAAAGTATACACAGAACCCTAAGAAACATGCAAATGATTTAAAAATGCCTATCAATAATTGTGCCTGTCCAGAGAATTGTTGAGATTAATTATTATTATTATTATTATTATTATTATTATTATTATTATTATTATTATTATTATGGGGGAGTGTTAAACCTGTAGGTGTTACACAGCGTTTGTGGTGGAGGGATGGAAGGCATTCATGCTCAATTCGCATAACTGGTACACAGATCTGATTCCCTAGATCAAGAGCCCTTCACCTGCATCAAGGAACCTCCCTTGAGGGGTGAGATTACCAAATAAAATTAAAATTCCATCGTAAAAGTTTACAATTATGCATAAGGCTTAATAAAAACTTACTTGCCACACATTTAACTGTAAATACAAAAATAAAATGGTTGATATGTGCTTCTCCGAATGTGTCCAGCAGACATAAAAGGGAGAGGGGCAATTGTCCAAGAAAAGGATTAGGGAAAATTGTTTCACAGATGTCCAGGTTAGTTTAGGCAAGACTCATCAGGAAACAGGACAAGTGGTTCCTCAAGCTTTTGGTCAGCTTTCCACTGGCTTACCCGTCCACCCCCACTAAAAATTAAAAATTAATTTTACTAATGCTCATTATCATTATAATCAAACCTAAGCCCTAAACCCACAAGGGTCATACATACGAGATGTCCAGAGTGTCTAAAATCACTGCAGGGCAGCAAACCCCAGGAGTCCTTGACCCCAAGTTTTGTATTAAGCTCGAGTAAAACTGGACTTTAACACCACAGTGCTGACGTCGCCAGGGTAACACTTGATAGAGTAACTATTTTCTTTTCCCCCTTCTGCTTCCTTTTCTCTAGACGACGTGCAGCTTCCTTAAGGTTAATTTCATGTTCTTGTTGTTGTTGTTGGGGTTTATAGGGCCACTCTCAAATTTGTTGTTGTTGTTGTTGGGGTTTATAGGGCCACTGACAGCAGAGATTTTTTTCATCTTAAGGTTCAAAATGATAAAGCTTTGTTGTTGGGTTTATAATAATAATAATATCTTTATTTACTACAAGTACATGTACAAGGTATATAGTCCTAGTTGACAACAATGACATATTACTACACATTATTATTATTATTATAATCAAAAAGAAGCGCTAAGCCACAAGGACTATACAGCTTATATTACTACACAGAAAGCCGCTTGTTATGCTCCGCATGTCGGGCAAATTAGGTAAGTGTCCCAGGATGCGACCCACACCAGTTGACTAACATCCAGGTACCAATTTATTGATGGGGAACATAGACAACAGGTGGAAAGAAACACGCCCAATGTTTCTACTCTGGCTGGGAATCGAACCCAGGTCCTCGCCGTGTGAAGCGACAGCGTTAACCACGAGGCCACCAAAACCATGTGAATGTATTTAATAATAAAATAAAATAATAATAATAATAATAATAATAATAATAATAATAATAATAATAATAATAATAATAATAATAATAATAATAATAATAATAATAATAATATCTTTATTTACTAGTAGTACATGTACAAGGTATACAGGCCTAGCTGACATTAATGACATACTACTTGTGGAAAATTGCATTTATCTGAATGTAACTAATTATGTACATAACAGTAAATGATAACAAAGATAATTATTATTTATCAATGTTACATAGACAAGTAGGAATTTGGGACACCTAAGTCGCAAAAATGTCCCCCTTCAATACCTACCATTGTCATAACCACAAGTTGCTCTGGACCTATTAATTATCAAATGAAAAATACATCACCAGGAATGCTGGTAAATATATAAATTTGTGGACTGTATATTAAAAATAATAAATGGTTATATATATACACAATTACATAACAGAAGGAAAATATATCTTAATATCACTCACCAATTTGACTGGAGATTAATGTGTATCATACTCAGAAAACCTCACTCTAACTAAATCTATGAAAATAATGCTGGCCAGAATTACACACAAATCTAGAGAGCTTATCTGAGGTTCCTGGAGCTGTCTTGTCCAGTCGTCTGATATCTCAAGTTATGCAGGAATGCACATCCACCAATTTCGCCTCCTATTTGAGAGGTGTCAACACAATTTTAACCTCTAGAGCACGAAAAATTCTTCCCATTATACCAACGTTTGTACAAAATTCAAAACCAAGATGGCGAGTCCCTTTCTGTGCAGGCGAAGCTTCCAGTTTCCCATTTTCGATAACATGCTTCTTTTAAAAATACAATATAGGGCATCTATTTACATATAAATTGCCGTATTTCCAGAAAATATACAATATTTTCCACACTGCGGCCAGGCGGAGGTCGTTGCAAAATTACTCAAATTGCTGATTTGACAACGGTGGAGGACCTGGGTACATATAGGATCCGGCATCCACACGGCGACACATTACACAAGATTCAATCACCCTTTTTATACTCTGCCATCCTTGTTGAATCCAGAAAGTTTCCCTAATACAATTTAAGGTATCTTGTACCCCACCATGCATTACATTTTTACAGGCATTTAGAATAAGTAAATTTGTTAGATGATGAGTTTTGGGCAGTAAGATAGGGTGTTTAGCATAATCACCCAATTCAGCATTTTGTAACCTACCTCTGCACCTAATTACACTGTTCTCTAAATACAGCCCCAATTTCTCTATTATGGAACCTTTCACAATTTTTCTTTCCATCATCAATTTAATCTCATTTCCATAGATTTCCTCCTGTACCTTCTTTATCCAATATTCAAGAGGATGTGAAAACTTAAATGAAATATTCATCTTGTTTAGAAATTTAAACACCAACTTAGTTACATTGATTAGTTTGGGTAAAGAAGAATACCTATTTATATCAATGGCTAAGGAAGGACAAACAATTGGAGTGGTGGTCACAGTAATTTCAACAGGAGCAATATACACCTTTTGTACAGGCCAATTAGCTTTATTTACCAGCCAGCTCGGTCCTTTAAACCATGATACAGCATTTACAAATTTAGCATAAGATAAACCTCGAGACAAGAAATCAGCTGGATTCTCCTCACCTGGTATATGATTAAATGTTAACATATGCTGACCCAAACTATTATACTTCTCTTGCATCTGATTAATTTCAACGACTCTGTTTTGTACATACACAGTTTTACTGTTTCCATTACAAATCCATTGTAAGGATACCTCATTATCAGACCAAATTACAGTGAAGCTAATATTTATCTCCTGCAACTTATTTCTTATATAATTAGCTAATTTGACACCTACATAAATGGATGTTAATTCCAACTGAGGCAAGGTACGTGATTTAATTGGAGACACTTTAGCCTTAGACATAACAAGAGAAATAACACTATTACATTGAAGGTAAGCAACTGCTCCATATGCCAATTTGGAAGCATCACAAAAAAATGTGGAGTACATTTTTCCCATTTGGATTAGCCACCTGGCGTGGGAACTCCAACATTGGAGTTTTTTTATAATCACCAATTAATTCATCCCACCTGTTAATGAATTCCTCAGGTAGAATTTCATCCCAAGCACATTTAAGTTTCCATGCTTCCTGAATTAATAATTTCCCTCTTATAGTAAGGGGTGACACTAAACCTAGTGAATCAAAACATTTGGAAACTTCAGCAAGCAAAACTCTCTTAGTTAATTTATTGGGCATACTGTAATTATTAGGTTTTAACATTAACAAATCTCTCTCAGTATCCCAAGTTATTCCCAATACATTACTACATTTTGGCACTTCATCTCCAGGGTAATTTTTACTTACTTTGTCCTTTAATTTGGATGAATTACTATTCCATTCCCTCAGAGGCATATTTGCACCTTGCATTATTTTATTAGCCTCTCCATAAGTCATTAACAGTTCCTCTTCAGTTGACGTCACACCAAGGAAATTGTCCACATAAAATTGTTTGCTCATTACTTTACTCAATGGACTTTCCATACGTTTAAGGTGTGCATTTATCGTCGCTTGAAGTAGGAACGGACTGGATGTAGCACCAAATAATACGCTCTTAAAGTGAAAGGTTTTCAGAGGGCTAAGTGGGTCACTAGGATTCTCAGGCCATAAGAAGCGGGTACAATCCCGGTCAGCCTCTTGTAAACCCACTCTTAGGAAAACTTTACTTATGTCAGCTGTAAAGGCATACCTGGAGTTTACCTGGAGAGAGTTCCGGGGGTCAACGCCCCCGCGGCCCGGTCTGTGACCAGGCCTCCTGGTGGATCAGAGCCTGATCAACCAGGCTGTTGCTGCTGGCTGCACGTAAACCAACGTACGAGCCACAGCCCAGCTGGTCAGGAACCGACTTTAGGTGCTTGTCCAGTGCCTGCTTGAAGACTGCCAGGGGTCTGTTGGTAATCCCCCCCCTTATGTATGCTGGGAGGCAGTTGAACAGTCTCAGGCCCCTGACACTTATTGTATGGTCTCTTAACGTGCTAGTGACACCCCTGCTTTTCATTGGGGGATGTTTGCATCGTCTGCCAAGTCTTTTGCTTTCGTAGTGAGTGATTTTCGTGTGCAAGTTGGGTACAAGCCCCTCTAGGATTTTCCAGGTGTATATAATCATGTATCTCTCCTGCCTGCATCCAGGGAATACAGTTTAGGAACCTAAAGCGCTCCCAGTAATTGAGGGTGTTTTATCTCCGTTATGCGGGCCATGAAGGTTCTCTGTACATTTTCTAGGTCAGCAATTTCACCTGCCTTGAAAGGGTGCTGTTAGGTGCAGCAATATTCCAGCCTAGATAGAACAAATGACCTTAAGAGTGTCATCATGGGCTTGGCCTCCCTAGTTTTTAAGGTTCTCATTATCCATCCTGTCATTTTTCTTTGGCAGATGCGATGATACAATGTTATGGTCCTTGAAGGTGAGATCCTTCGACATGATCACTCCCAGGTCTTTGACGTTGGTGTTTCGCTCTATTTGTGGCCAGAATTTTTTTTGTACTCTGATGAAGATTTATTTCCTTGTGTTTACCATATCTGAGTAATTGAAATTTCTCATCGTTGAACTTCATAATGTTTTCTGCAGCCCACTAAAAGATTTGGTTGATGTCCGCCTGGAGCCTTGCAGTGTCTGCAATTGGAAGACACTGTCATGCAGATTCGGTGTCATCTGAAAAGGAAGACACGGTGCTGTGGCTGACATCCTTGTCTGTGTCGGATATGAGGATGGGGAAAACAAGATGGGAGCGAGTACTGTGCCTTGTGGAACAGAGCTTTTCACCGTAGCTGCCTCGGACTTTACTCTGTTAAACGACTACTCTCTGTGTTCTGTTAGTGGGGAAAATTAAAAGATCCATCGACCAACTTTTCCTGTTATTCCTTTAGCACGCATTTTGTGCGCTATTATGCCATGGTCACACTTGTCGAAGGCTTTTGCAAAGTCTGTATATATTACATCTGCATTCTTTTTGTCTTCTAGTGCATTTAGGACCTTGTTGTAGTGATCCAATAGTTGAGACAGACAGGAGCGACCTGTTCTAAACCCATGTTGCCCTAGGCTGTGTAACTGATGGGTTTCTAGATGGGTGGTGATCTTGCTTCTTAGGACCCTTTCAAAGATTTTTATGATATGGGATGTTAGTGCTATTGGTCTGTAGTTCTTTGCTGTTGCTTTACTGCCCCCTTTGTGGAGTATTCACAGTTTCTTGATTCATTAATTCCAAGCACTTATTATATGCCTTGGTTACATGAACTTTCCTAGCCTGTAGTGATGCTTTCTTTACTCTATATTCCATATGTTTGTCTTCTACATTAATTTCCTCATTTTCAGCCATGATGCAATGTATTAAATTCAACTTAATAACACTGATTATGTACTAAATTATGCACTTTATAAAGGTAAATAGTATAACTTACCTTTAAATAAATTCTCGCTACTTGAGCTTAGCAATTACATGTAAAAAATTGTAATATAAATTTAAATACACTTTAAAAATGTTAGCTAC